ATAGGATGGGCATGGATGGGCTACGCTGTTCAACCTGTCTTGGACTTCAGATCCCTCGGACTGCTGGGTCGCAAGTAGATCGAACTCCATCATCGAACTTTCAGGTTTTCACTTGGGTCAGGTGAGGTTGCCCATGTGAACCTGCAGCGTCAGGCCTGAAAGACGTTTTTCTTGGAAGAACCGCAAAGGAACACCTTGAGGTCGGGAAACACCTTGAGCTGATGAGCTGTTTACGGTCAGTGAGTCACATGATATTCGATCTTCGAATTGGGAAAAAAACACCATGGTCTGGGACTTCCGTCGGACTTCAAAGCCAACCCAGGATGTGTGGCATCGCAAACATCGTTTTGCCCAAAAATGGACTGCCTGAAGTCGGACATGAAGTCTGACGAAAAGAAACAACAGCAAAAACCACACACAGCTTGACGTCGGACCCAGGCCGAGACTGAGTCCGTCGACCCGCGTCTCGGAATTTTCCAGGTTTCCCGGTGGGGTCGAACGACCCTGGAGTCTGCCTCGAAGCCGCTCTCCTGCAAAGCTTTTGCCAGAGCCTGTGCCTGGAAACATGTGTGCACCACTTCAGAATGCCAGTCTGCCAGTCTGCTCGGAGTCTAGGGGAGATATTTATCTCCAAAACCGGACAAAGTCACTGCAGATCATTCCTCCACACCTTACGTGCCAGGTCCAACTCCGAAAATACGCAGAATGCTTTGGGCGGTGTCAACAGTGCCTGTCAACAGGCGCGTTTAGTAGAAGTGCCGGTTCGGACGGCTAGGGAATGCTTGCTGCATTCAGCACCTTCCTGTTAATATTTTTCAATCCATGAGTCTTGGCCCTGCTGATCCAATCTTTATCCAACATGATGTGCAGGAGTAGTGAGTAGTCAAGATGATGATCTTTGGCCTGTTCTGAGACTGAGGCTGCGTGGGAGAAAAGTAACATCCGAGCGACGTGAAATGATGGAGAGGTCCACTCCCTGAAAGGTTCATGGTTACATGGAGTGAGTTTCATGAGTGAGTGAGTGAGTGAGTAAGTGAGTGAGGGAGGGAGGGAGGGAGTGAGTGAGTAAAAACCATCTGTTAGGCCTAAACCGATGAGTCTGGCATGTCTGAACTCGGGGCCATTCCGATGGTCCACCGTTGGCCCATGAGTTCAGGGAGTGGAGACTTGAATCACATCAGCAACGCTACGGAGCTCAGGAGACTCCTGGAGTCTCTGCGAATCATGAACGATATAGCAAACTGGTGCAAATCCGTTGGGCACTTTTTCCCACGTTAGTAAAAACCTTTCTCTATAATTTGTGATTTGCTTGTACAAACTGTTAGAGGTTTACTGGGACACACCCCCAACAAATCCAACTCATCGGCATGTATTCAAAACTGTTGTCCCGGCGGTGATGGGTTCTTTTTTCCACATCCTGAATCCCAACAGTAGATCCAAGGTCCCTGGAAGATCCAAAAGCGAGCCGAGAGATCCTGGTGCTTGAATTCACCAGCCAGGTCTCTATCCAAAAGGGACTTTCTATCGAAAGGGTCTCCACTCTCCAGGTCCCTCTTCGCCTCATTCTTCTCCTTCACCTGTTTAGGCGGGGAGCTGGTGCGATTAGGTTGAATGTCAAGAATCCTCGTATGCCTATATTGTAGAAAATCACAAAGAATAACAAAGATGCAAATAAATATAGATATATGATTTTGTTGAATCAACATAGATAATTAAAAATCTTAGACCCAAGACTTCAAGCTCTCCTTGATCGGATTTTGCTGGGGGAGCTCCCCCCAAATGAACCATCAGCAAGCACTGAACTGGCTCCCCGTTTGGATTCGATGCATGCATCGCACCCTTGAATGGACATTATAAGAACTAGAATGAATGCATAGCACCCCCATCAGCATAGCACCCTTTAAGAAGAAGTGTCAGCTTGTCATCCTATGCAAAACACTCGCTTATTGCCCTTGGTCAACCCCAACTGGCTGCAGTCAGGACTCTTTACCAGGCAATGTGATTAGTTTCCACACTTCAATCCAAGTTCTCAAACCATGAACACATATCCTTGGTATTCCTTGATCCTCCATGATGACATGCCTCCCCCAAAAGATACAATCATGTCCCAATAATGATCCGGCTCTCCAGTGCTATATTCACACCTGGATGTTCCCCTCTTTTTACCCAATTCCATAGGAGCTTTTGCACACCGCCCCTCCACTCCACCAGTCACTCCGCCTCCTTCAAGAGCTCTTGGCACCGGGGCATCAACTGCGCCTTCCGCCGCTCCTGGGCGCCGGCGCGAGTCAGTGGAACATGGCTCCCCAAGAATCACACCTGCTCCAACCCAAGCACCGAAATGGTGAGTCTGGATGTTGTTTGTTAGGACTTGTTGCGCCCTGCCATTGTCTGCACCTCCCTGCAGGGCAAAACGGCTCAGTTGACGGGTTGGGTCCAATGGACCGTCCTGTGGATCGCCCCGAGGGGAGGTGACGCATGAAAGAAGGGATGGTATTGACATCTGACGACTTCTCCCAAAGATACGCATCTGACTCTAACATCTGACATCTGACGACTTGTCCTGACGACTTCTAACATCTGACGACTTCTAGCATCTGACTCTTTTCTTTGATAGAACCCAGACACTCCATGTATGGAATATATGCCTACATTGACCCCTTTTCAACCACCCCAATGTGGGTCAATATGGCAGTCCCATGGAGTGTTTGGGGAAGGTAAGATCAGGCCATGAAGAAAGATCTGATTCTCCCCAAAAGGCAGTGAAGGTCGAGGATAGAAGTCTCGGATGGGCGGCCGGGTGCTTTCGTGTCTTTCTAGCTCACATCAAGAAGTAAGTAAGTCGTGCGTGGTGATTTTGTTCCAACAAAGGGGGGATGCAAAAGACACAAGAAGCCTGTGAAAGGGATGCTTTCTTTGAAGACAGTTTGATGCTTTCTTTGTCTAGCTTCTCGCGGGTACTTGGCTTGCCGGTGGAATCACTGACTCTGCCTTTCGACAGCTCACTTCAGTGGGCGCGCGCGTTACGCTACATGCGCGCCGCCCTCGAAGTCAGATGAGCAGTGATTTTGCTGACACATGTGGGCGGCTCTGGATGTGTTTTTGTTTCAACGTAACATAGATAAGCAGAAATCACGACAGGTCAGCATAGATACTCAGCACTTTGCCAGCTTTTTACCAAACAGTTCTATTGAAACATCGATCACCCTGTGGAGCCTTCATGTCTGAACCTTACCAAACCATGGGACTGGAAGTTCAGACCCAATTTACCCTATGAACATGTCCTGTCCCTGCAAGTATCTATTCCAGTCTCATGGATGGTTTGGGTTTGTACATCACATCTATTCGTGGATTCGCCACCTGCTCGGTTGAGCAGCTTCGACCACATTCCCTTTCTTAGTATACCAAGTATACTAGAACGTGCATAGGCACACGTCTCTTGCAATTTGTGTTGGATATCTGAATCAAAGGGCCATTCCAAAATGTATGCTGGGCCACTTCAAGAATTTCCCAATCATTCCCAATCAGCATATTCAACAACTTCTGGTGAGTGCCCCACGTTCAGCCGTGATTGGTCCAACTAGAATGTCTGATGAACATATATATATATATATGAGGCATTGCCTCGCAAACGATTCAGCCATAACAGTTCCCAGCTCTTTGTTGAGTTTTGTGGAGATGTTTGCAAAGGACAAAACGACGTCAACATGCAACAGTCCACACAAGATTGACAGCACATTCCCTACTCATCCTGCAGGAATCTCTTATCACTGCCTGCCCATACTATCCTTCGAAACTCGCTCCACAGACTCGCAGACTCTCGCAGCTCTCCTTTCGACGTTCCGCGCCAAGAGGCCAGATCCAGATCAATCTCGAAGCTCGAAGGCCTTGGAGGTCGCTCCGCGGTCGCCGGGCTGGTGGCGGACTGGTCGCCACGTCAAGGGACGGTCCCTTGGGTCGACCATCGGCGACCGAAGCGGAAGCCGATTCAGTCCTTCAGGTCGGAGACCAGACTGCAACGGTCCCGGAGAAGACGAAGGTCGCGTCCCTTTCATGTCGCTTCATGCTTGCTACCATGACAGGGGTTGTGGATGTGACGGCAAATCCTCCGTTCGTGAAGGCGGTACGAGGGTTTTACCAAGACCATCCTGCCGTCCGGGACGACCTCCACACACCCAAACACAATGGTCGTAGAGTTCGTTTCGAGCTTTGTGGACCTCAAAGTTCAATGCTCAGCATCAGCGACGACCCTTCGACTGGCAACCGACCAATCTGTGCAGGGTCACGACGTGACCCGGGTCACGTTGGAGGAGCCGATCTGTGCTGGTGGGTTGGAACAGGTGACGACAGATGTTCCTTCCTGGAAGGCCGAACCTGGGGCTCTGAGATGCCGAGAATGGGTGTTGATCTCAAGTGAGCTGTGTTGATGCCGAGATGAATTCGAAGCGATGATAAGTGCACTGTATAGGAAGTATGTCCTGGAAGTTCATCTCAATCACCGTGGGTCGCGGAGCCCAGTCCTAAACTGACCCTGATAGGTCCTGAGTAGTGCCATATCTCTTGATGAATCACCCCCCCGCCGAACATGGATTCCAACGCCTCTTCAGGCTTGGGGGTTGACAAAAAAACAAGTCGAACAGCTGCAGATGGTCTGTTTGCCCAGCTGTCATGCTTCTTGGAAGGAGTGCAAACATCTACTTCTAGACCTGCAACAGCAAGGAGATCCAGGATTCTTCGACGCGTGACAAGCTACCTGATTAAGAAATTCAATCATGCCGCACAGGGTGGCTGGGTCGCCTCAGATTAGATCCATTCATTCGGGTATGGCCCATGGCTGTTTTGATCTCCCTAGGATTCCAACCACCAGCTTTGTTCCGCTAAGGGTTTTACACTACAAAGCGAGGTCAACCATTTTTCAAATGGTCTTGGAAGTCTAGGGGTAAGACTGGCTCTCTTGAGGAGTGGGAGTAGGTTCGGAGGGTGGTGACTTCAATCCGATTGTCGAGATCCCAACTTCGCCCCATCTTAGCCCTTCACGTGGGCTGATGCTCCAGTTGCCTGCGCCACCGTCGTTTCAGGGTGGACCGAGCTTCCCCAAGCTCCAAGGCCGTTTTCTGTCGGGTCCCGCAGAACTATCAGGACGTCTTCTCTCAAAGTTAGATATGCCCGGCAGGGATCCAAGTACCTTCTTAGAAGGTGATGTGTTCGACACTGTTATGTAGGCACCAGGAGGGTCCAGTCGTACCTTCTGAGGTTCGGTACGACTGGATCCGTAAGGGATGGTGCATCTTCCTGCACTGGAAGACTGATGGGGTCCCTACCGCGCAAGCAGGATCTCTTGATATGAGCTTCTTCACGAAGAGGACATGACTCAACACGGTTGATTTCTTTGGCCTTTTGTCAGTTCACCAGCCATGCTTTCAACCTGGACCTAGCTGAATGTGCCCACTGCAGCGACTTGGTGATCGCTTTGGACGATCTATTCGCCCAATTCCTGAGTTCACGACCGCTCCGTACGAAATTCATCGGCCAATGATTTAGTATCTCTGGTGACCTGTGAAGGGAATGGTGGTGTTCCCAGAACTTCCACCAAGTGGGTCTTTCATTTCGTCAAATGGTCAAATGATTCTCAGAAGTTTCAGATCCCCATCGACTGGTTGGACCATTTTCATCCATTTTCCTAGTCTTCACTGAACACAAAGTTCACCTGAAGAAGCAAAAAGGTGACCCAAAGTGCCACGCAGTCACACGCGCCCCTGACGGTGTGTCCGGGGCGCTAGCGGAGGAGCTCTATGAAGCAAAACCATTCCGTACCAGAGGTCCAAGGGTGTCCAACAACCACCTCAACAGTGGGTCCTGGTAGAAGCACCCCATTAAAAATAAAATTAGGAGTGTTAAAACCTCCTCATATTATGGTTTGCGGGTTTTATTAATCGCCTACATGAAGTAAAGCTTCAAGCTTCAGCCAATCTCATGATCTCCGTGCTGGGAAGGGTAAAACGGCCGTGATGGGGGTTCCCCTTCCCCTCCCCTCAACTTCATGAGGTTTTTGTCACAGGAAGCGCATATGCCTTGGATCATGGGATCCAGCAGAGGTTGAAGAACCCGAACTGGACTATCCTATAGGTACCGCTGGTTTTCCGGGTCCTATGGTCCCGGTCACTGGCTACCTCTGTAGGATCCTCGGAGTGTACAGATCCCAAGTCCGGTTGGATCGCTCCGGTGCGGTGTTGGTCCGGTCTGGCACGGCTGAGCAACGGGTCTGGGTCAAGTAACACATGGATATTGTAGATGTGTCCGGAGTCCAAACTATTGTACCTTTGGAGACCCAATCTCATCGACCTGCAAAGGAATTCCAGCCTTAAGCGATATCACCCTTCCCTTCCAGAACGAATACAAACCAAACAACACTCACTCTCGCCAACGTATTCGTTCGCCAACGAAACGCGTCTGAAATTGCCCTATTTTGAGCTTGGAACTTTCTGACCTTCACTTCCCTACCAACAGTCGAGTCCCATCATGTCCCATCCAGGTTGCCGCTGGCACTTCGACCGGTATTCCGTCTGCGCGATCAGATTGACATGGTCACTGTTTAAGTCTTCGCATCAGAATCAACAGTGAACAGGCCTGAGGAACCCCCGTCTCCACTGGCCCCCCAAAACCCCCGTTGCTGCGCGCATTCTTACTCCAAAGTTCCTCCAGCAGTACAGGGTCTCTGCTCCAGCGCCCCTACTCCGCCGGTCTGTGGACGGTCGACCGGGTCGACTGGTGTCATGCGCTCATGCGCACTCAGTGTCGTTGAGCCTGGAGACAGCAAGCGCAGGCGAACTCGAAAGGTGTTGTGGTCTAACGGGTGGATGAAACGACATCGCCTTTTTGCCAAGGGCAAAGGGATGCAAAGGGGCATCACCTGTGAGGAATTCGATGGACATCCACATCACCTGCGACGTGTCATGAAGTCGAAATCACCAAACGTTGGACATGTTTGAATTAAATTGCAACGAAAGGATACGAAAGCGACATCGTTCTCGCTGGCTTTTCGTCCGGAAAGAACATATCCCTCGCTCAAAAAGGCAATCCATCATACAAACATGTTGAAAGGACTAAGTATTGGACTTCTATCATCTGGCAAAAACAACAGAACCATGTGGCCATGATGATCTCACCATCGGACTGGAAATGGCCACGGCCATGGCCGCCATGGCCGCCATGTGGTTCCTTTGAACCGTACTCCATTGGAGTCGTCGTCGCGCCTTCTAGTCAAGCATGACAGGGTGCCGGGCCAGGTGCATGATAGAAGTAAACCATAGACCGAACGAATCCCTGGTTCCTTATATAGTGGTAACTGGGATGCACTGGGTATACATATTTGCTATGTTCCAAAACGATCCAAACCGTAGGTTTCTTCTCACGATCGCTATGCTCCCTTAGGGGCATGGGCCTCGATCATCAGATTCTGCCGCTGAGCATAATGTCAGCCTAAGGGCAGGTTGAGCGCTTCGTGTGGCATTGCAGCTGGAGCCATGTTGCTTGTAACTTCAATGTTCTTTCAACAATATCGACCCAACTGGAAAGAACTCGACCCAGAAGGCTGTTTGATCTAGGAATACCATGGAATACCTATTCCTGGCTGGGAGAGCTCAAAATTCGTGTATATACCTGAAACAAGACTCGGTAAAATTGAAAAGGCTGTTCCCTGTTTTTTGCAGAATAGTGCCATGTACCATGAACTCATTTCCCATGAGTTGTTGCCTTTTGTCACTTTAGTCAAATCTGGACATCCCGAAACTGACTGAAGAAAGTAATTGGCAACCATGAATCACGAAATGAGGAAACAAACTATAATATCATATGAATCATACGTTATATAATCTACATAATACCAAACCCCCATAAGTACAACATCACCCATCTTGCATCTCTGACTTCGTCAAGTAGCTCTGAGCTCTGACCACTGGAGCTCTGTGCAAAGTGCTCTGGACATCGATGCTCTCCTGAAGAGGCTCAAACGAAGCTCAAACGAGGCTCATAGATTCTCAAACGAGGCTTCTACGATGTCGATAGCTTTGGTACTTTGCTTCGGTGCACTGTCCAGCTGCGTCACACTACGAAAGCAGTTCTCGAACGCAGTTCTCAGCAGTTCACGGGAAATGATCGCAGTTGGTACTGGTTTGGCAGAAGAAACTTGGCGAGCCAAACCATGTTTGTTGGTGGTTAGCCCTCATTGAACCCCTAAATTACAATGCAACCTATCAAACGGCTTCAAAGGCCACTCCGGACGGTTGGACTCATCCAACTTCTGGAAGTCATCCTCAGGGCCAGGAGGGATGTTGAATGCAGTTAATAATGCCCTGGTCTAAAGTTCTAAAGTCGCAACAAGATCAAACTTGGCGGAACGGCAGCAAACGAACCTTCAGTGGATGCAGTTCTTTACAGTACCTGGGCTATATATGTACTCTAGAGTGTCCAAACCGTTAAGACTCTTGGCTCAATTCGCAAATGGTGACTTACATAAGGCTTTGCCCAAAATAGTCTTTGGCATTGGTTCACCGGGAGTGATTCCATTGACACCTTCCAAACGTCTTCCTCCTCCCCGCATTGCGGTCCACCACATGTCCGCGATCCGCTCGGTCCGCGGGCCAAGGAGCTCCAAAGCTCCACAAGGACGTGGCGAACGTGGCGAACGTCAGTTGGGAAGGACGTCCGTGGCATCCTCCTCCGGCGAAAGAAGAGAGCCAAGCACCAGGTGTTGTGTCGAAACAAGACTCATGCCACCACCCAAAGGATGGTTATATGATGTTATATTGGATGAACAACCAATCCGTATATATAGTGGTGGCCAATAAACAACATTAAACAACTGTTTGGGTGGTGCTGGTGGTTTCAGAGGGTGTGATGTTTGTCCTTTGTTTTGGGGTCTGCCCCGATGTTTGAGCCCGACAAAGCGGGCTGGGGGTGTGTTAGGTGACCCCTACCTGGACCTGGTTCCTATGAAAAGTAGATCCATGATCCCTTCTGCCCATTATAGGGGTAGAGGTTCCGATCTGTGAAAAGTTTGATTGGCTTTAACACGAAGAGTCTTGGGCTTGCAAAGGAAACAAATTATAGCAGCAATTTACCAACCAACGGACGCATCCAAACAAGCAACATATACAAGAAATAGAACACAAACAAAAGCAATTATATGGCTGTGAGTCAAAACCTCCCGCACCAAATCACCTACGACCTCCCTTATAGAGGAAACTGTTCATGTTCGGTGGTCAACCAGGGTGCCCCGGTTTTGACCCACAGCCATATCCCACCAGATAGTAGCATCCCTAGAAACTGGCTGAGATGACATTGGAAAAGACACAAGTAATTACAATACAACCTACATCGCAATTGGAGGTTCTGGAGTTGAGTTTTCCCTTAACTAAAGGGAGTGCTGACGCAACCAAACACTGTAGTTGCAACAGAAGAGAACGACTGATGGACCCCATCCACCGCCCTCCTGTCGCGGCATCTTCTGGAAACGCTTTTGGAGGCGTTCCTGAAGTTGAGCCTGCGAAACCCACACCAGATGGAGACGGTTGAAATTCTTTCCGCATTGGTCTCTTGAAACGGAGCTCAACGGGTACTCGTCGAACCCGAGTTGCTTTGTGTGCCCCACTGCTGGGATGGGAATTGCTACGTGGTGAATCAAGTGGTCGGTCCATTTTGAGTCGATTGTGTGCTTCTGTTATATAATTGGTTTGAACACTGGATTGCTAGGACACACTAAAGACAGGGCAGCATGGTAGTCAAGTGAAACACCCAAAAACAACAAAGACACAAGGATGTGTATTGTTTTGGTTTATTTCCCTTCTTCCATGGGGGTCAAACTGAGAGGTCTCCCTATTTTAAACACACCCACATCTCTTTACTCACCAAGCCAGCCTCAGAAGCCCTGCGCAAGTGCTGTCCCAGCTCCGGCAAGCACTGCCTGGAGGCGGAGCCCGGCGAAGGCCGGCGGAGCCCGGCGGTGCTGGGTGTCCTGATCTGAATGGGTCAGTTCTGCTGCCAAGGGTGACTGTACCCTGCAGCTGCTGCTGATCATGATGATGGTTAAGTCACAAGGTTTGGCTTGATTTGAGTGAACAAAACCATAACCAATTTGAGACACTGAGATCCACAACCGCCACAAAACACCCGGACATCTTGGTCTGGCACCCTTAGTGTCCCTCAATCTGGGCAAAAGGTGGAGAATCCCATGTGGTGCTTGGCTGAAGAAGATCTCTTTTGGGGAAGAACAAAGAAGTCGTATCATATACCTGTTGGTTGTTCACTTGCGGAGTAGCTCCTCTAATTAATCAACCAAGGCCGTACAAGGCCATCTAAATCCTCCCAATGGTAAAATCATCCATGGAAGGCACACGACTTGGCGTCATCTCATAGAGTTCTGAGGGCATACGACATGCCCATTGCGATCTTTCAATGTCTAACCTAGGTCCAAAGACGAGCCCCGGATGAGTCTCCGTGCCACAAGGGCAGGGCACCAGGAGCACCTGAGGTGAGATCAAACCGGTCAAATCGACCTTTGACTCGGCACCCAAACCCACACTCCATGGGATTGGAATCTATGCCTATATTGACCCCCCTGAAACCATCCCAATTTATATATGTCATGAGTCATATAGTGCTTGGGAAACAGTGTTGAGAAGATCACGATGAGTCGAGAAGATGCTCTTGTTGTCCTATAGTCCAAAAAAGAATCCTCTTTGCCACGCCCTCCCCCCATGATCCTCATCACTTTGACCAGATCAACAGGAGTGGAACCTTGGGCAGAACCGGCCGAACCTGAGTGGGATCCACCTTTTGGGGGCCACCTTGTGAAGCTCCTGTAGCTCTAAGCTGTGTCACCTTGGCCAGAGGTCACTGTCCGTCAAGACTCATGGCACCCGAAGTCACGGGCTGCGTCGGCTACGATGATCGACGACGTAAAGGACATATATGAAAGAAAGAGCTAGCAGCTCGCCTGCTACACATTTTGGAAGGCAGTATCTAAAGAGCATGGAAACATACATGCTCCACGCCGCGCCGCGCCATCTGTTTGGCCAGAAGCTTCTGGCAGTAGAAACTTGGGGACATCGGGGACATCTCACTTGGGGAGTTCAGCATCATCCCATCACCAGTCCAAGTACGATCATCTGCCACCCAAAGCTCTGCCCTCGGAAAACTCCAATTTGGTCGATGCCGTGAAAAGCGTGGCCTACTACCTGACCTATAAAGGTACACCTCATGAAACCATCCATGTATGGAATCGTCACTTGCATCAGGGTCTAGGATCATCTTCATAGTGCAAATGTATGCAGCTCTTCTAAAATAGATGGATGGTCTGAGGTTCAACCTCTCTGCGAAGCAAAGACTCGAACCTTCTTTTTGCTCAGCAAACAAACCTCTCCTCGCGGCCAACTGCCGACGGTGTGGCCTTACCGATGGTTCCTTGACCTGAATGAACGCGGCAAAAAGAAAACAGGTATATGCCGTGGCAGATGCCGAGGCATGCCGTCGATTTTCCTGTAACGCCTTTTCTCGAAGCTGGGCATGCGTTGCTCGGCAAGACACAATTTGGGTTGTATATGGTTGTATAGACCCTCTGGCCCGAGCCTAGGGCCTCGCGGGGGACAGGCCCTCCAGGGTTGCGGGTCACCACAGCCCGCGAGGGTCGTATATATATATATATATAGATCTCCTACCCACATTTGCGGCGCCTGGGACGCCAGGGGGGTAAATCACGCGTAAACCATGTGTCTTTCTTCATGCCAAAGCATTCATCCAGTTCGGGAACAAACAGAAACCATCCACCTGCTCCGCCCCAAACCCAGAATTCCAGTGAAACCTCCTTGGTCTAAAAGCTGATGTGAGGGAAGACCATCCATCGGATCGAACCCAACACTCAAATAGCTAGGCAGCCGGATCCATGTCGGCGCCGGAAGGAGTGGAGTCGTGGAGTCCCAGTGGTTCCATCAAACATTCCCTGACATCTTGTTTCCAAAAAACACCAAGTGCATCTGAGATAATAAGGTTTGGAAAAACACCAGATGCTGCCAGATGCTTCCATTCTGCACCATTGATGGATCCCTGCATCTGAGGGTCCAAGTGAATGGTCCAAGGGTTTGGAGATAAGGTACACCATTCTGTAGGTTTGGAGGGTCCAGTCGTACCTTCTGAGGTTCGGTACGACTGGATCCCTGGGGAATTCGTGTGTCACATGAAAAGAGAACACTGGACATCTGTGACTCTTTATGTCTCGGCATCTGCAACTGCCTCTTTCCTTCGTGACCTCATTCGAGGTCTGAAACAGAAAGGCGTGGGACCACCGGAGAAAGAATTGCTGTTCAACTCCTGGGCAGTGTAGTTTCTTGTTCATGGCAATGTTCTTCTGCCCAGTTGAAGGTGATCAACTGAAAAACCTTCATCGAGTTCGGCAGGCCCACTGCCATGTGCCGAAAAACATGGAAGGTCGAGGTGTAAGGCTGCGGTTCTGATCGAGTTTTTGTTGGAAAAAAAACCTGTGAGAGGTAGATGTGCCAAACAGATCTTACAAATCCCGATCCACACACAACCACACATATCTGGTTGCTTCATGTTGCTTCATGGGCTGCGTCCAACCATCACTTACAGCAAGTTAAGTATACAAAAAGTATGACTATAACCATGATATAGTCTGCTGGAAGGACACACAAAAAGTCCAAAAGTCTGTTGTCAATTCTTGCGAAAAGGTCTGAGCCACCAAAAGCTCTTCCAAAAAAATAAACACGCCCTTCTGCATCCCTATGTCATACCCTATATATTTACCTAGAACCCATTTGACCTCCTTTTTGATAAGAAAGGGCCATATTTTGGATGGTTGCTCCTCCAAAACAGGGGTCACTCAGGTTCTAGGTATATATATACCTAACTATACATATAGTATCCCTAAGAGGGTGAGTCTCCCTGGTTTCTTCTCCACTCAGTCATGGCTTCATGATGATTGGAATCATGGGGCATGTTGGGACTCACTGGGACCTTCAGAGTGTATACTTCAAGGTCCAGACCCCTGCGCATGCGCCGGGTCCGACCCCCTCTCATGGAAAGCCCAAATACTCTTGGGGTTGTGCTGACCAGCACCGTACCTCGGGGTCACCTGGCGAAACCGACCTCCAAACAGCTAGGACACCCCGGACGAAGGTTCAGGTAACCATATCGCCTGCAAAATATCACTGGTGAGATCTTGTACTCGGATTTCGGGTTGCATGAGTCTCTTTGACAGCAAAGTTTCTCGTCTTGGGAATGGTTTGAGCGACAGCCACATCTGCTGCTGACAGCCATGGATAGAATGTGATGGCATTGCATGGGCAACCGTCAACACCAGTTTGGGTTTGTTCTTGATGAGGGTCCGGCAATTGTGAAATCAACAGGCCTCCAGAAATGGCTCCATGGGAGTCAGCATTTGCAGCTACAATTGCAGCTGCCCAAATGTGGCCACCCAAAGACGTCTAGAGCAAAAAACATGAGATGAATTGGAACAGGATCTTCCGATAAATTTATATGTCGATGTTTGTTTCAGTTTGTGAGCGTAGATATTCTAGAACAACTCCAAGAACTCTATACTATACATCACGATCATTCCAGCACCGTCAACCCATCACCAAATTTCCGCTGAGTCCACCCAGCGTTTTTGACGCAAAGCCAAGGACTTTGGCCGTGGTTTAGACTGACTTTCTCAGGTTCCTTCAACAATAAGTTAACCAAACTTTCCACCTCATCTTGTTTTAGTGAGTCATCCCAATCCTCCGGTCAGTTCGCTTGGGCAAGTGATCCACATCTATAGGTCTAGGCTGACATCATCTTGATGCCCTCCTTGGCCATTAAGCTGCCATCGCAGAAATTCTTCACCTCACTGAGAGGATTTTTTAGGTCTTCAGGATTGGGAAGAAGGAAACGACACCCTGCTTGGGATTGTTTGAGTGTGCACTCTACTGTGTACTCTAGACACCGGTCGACACCGGTCGACACACTGCAACCAATGTGTAGACTATGGTATAGACTGGTCTATGTTCCTTCTTCCAGGGGGGGGCTGACCGGAACGCCGTTCCGGTGTCGGTCTCCCTATTTGAGCTTTTCAATTGGTGGACCCATTGAGTTCAATATAGTTCAATTGGTGGACCCATTGAGTTCGTGGACCCATTGAGTTCCTGATGTTTGAGCCAGTCCAACTTCCACACGCATAAGTTTTCCCTCAGAGGTCGACCACTAGCACTGGTTCCTCGAGCAAGGCATCCAAGTGCTCCAGCTTCAACACCTTCGGAGCCTCCTCGCCCTCCTCGCCTTCGGACCTGGGCCCGGCCGCCGCCTAGTTGGCCATGCTTGGACCGAACATGTGGCAGACTCTCCAGTTGGATCAGGACAGGGAAAAGAAAGCTTCCGACAACCCCCCGTTTTCCGTGCCTACATCAACATCAGTGGGTTCATCAACCCTGACTGTGTGCCGGACTATCTTAAGGATCACAAAATCAAATACATTTTAGTCATCCGTAGATGAACATGATGAACATACCCATGCTATTCTGATACAATCACTAAACACATCTTAACACCATGTATGTAACGAAACCAAACTACGATTAGTATACATTCTCTGTTCTGGGTTCCACAAAACATCTTATCGTTTCTTGTCCTGCTCTTTCACACCCTTGGGAGCAGCAGTTCCAGCCCGGGCACACGGAAAACATGTAGCTCGAGAGAAGCTCCAGCACCACCATGTGAGAGCCGTTCTGCAGCAAAAGCGCTCCGTGCCGTTCACGGGTGTCGAAATGCACTGATTCCGGCGACGCGAAGCGACGCGAACGGCAACCACTCGGTGCACCGCCCACGGTCTCAGACATCGGTCTTAGGGTGAAAGGAGTTCCCAGGCACTCCATGGGACTGCCATACTGTATGCAGGACTGGCGAGAAACTGTGGTTGACGAACGGGGTCTGTCTGGGGCGGCATAGATATATGGAGTGTATGGGGTTGAAAGGAGAGTAATTCGATGGCACAGCTCCCGCCCCCAAGTTGGGTGCTTGATGTGGAGGTCTTCCATATCTAAAATAACAGTAGGGATGCCGGTGCCATCTACTCTTTGGAGATTGATCCCGAAAATTGCAACAGTTCGACAAAGATGATGCTATATTATAATGTAAAGTCACGATTAATAAACCACCCCTAGTTAATCCGAACACACAAGCCCACCGGAAATTGCCCAAATTAAAAGTACTATTTGTGCCTAATTCCACCCCTAATCTTCTAGTTGGGCATCAGAACCCCCCCCCCAGTTAATCCGAGCCCACAACCAGGTCAAATTTTCGAATTACTACTACTACTGCTGCTACTGCTACTCCTACTCCTACTCCTCCTCCTCCTACTACAACAACAACTACTCGTACTACTCCTACTCCTACTCCTACTACTACTACTACTACTACTCCTCCTCCTCCTCCTCCTCCTGCTGCTGCTGCTGCTGCTGCTTCTGCTGCTGCTGCT